ATTAACAAAATTAATATTTTTAAATAAAACAACAAAATTAACATTTTATTCATACATTTTCTCGGCTATGCATTATTCTTTAATACTCATAGCTAATTGGCGTAGAAGGCCACGTGTTTATCATTACCTTATTAGAAAAATGTTTTGGCAAAAAATGTTTTGGCAAAAAAAAACCTTCCATCAAAGTATGGCCAGAGACACAGCAATCATTGTGGTGACATGTTTTATTTTATTTTATTTTTACCTTTGCTTATGCATCAGTAAATGTCACTATGAACTATAACTCCATACAACTCAACTTCATCTCTAAGAGTTAGATCTATCAAAAAAAGTATGTCTTTTGAATTATAAGATATAAGATTTAAATTTAAGATTTAATTAATTTTTTTGAATATATTAAATTAATGTAAAAATATGCTTTTAAAATTATTTTATGAGAACTTAATCTCAAAATATTTAAAAGCTTATTTTAAGACACTTTAATCATAAAAAAAAAAAATAATAAAAGGACGGTTCAATTTCAAAGGAAAAAACTTAATCAGATACATAAATTCCATTAGTTCCCTACTTTCCCTAAACAATGTCATACATTTGACAAAATGACAAAGAAAAATGAAAAGGAAAAGCAAAAAGGGAAGAAGAAAGAAAACAAACAGCCACAAAAAGGCAGAAGGCATGCTTCATAAGGAACAAAAGAAAAAGGAAAAAAATAAAAAAACAGTTGCCAGGCCTGTGATCACAAATGAATGGCTTTTGAAACAGTGAATCAGAACACTAACATTGACCAGGCATGTCTTCCCCAATAAAGCCCCGAAAGCAAACAAATAATAATGCGAATCATTTTTTCTTAAAACTTATGATAATAATATAGATAATTCCATGACGATATCATATGATGGATGATATGTGAATTACTTCCATAACAAGTTGGTTTCAAAAAATCAATTGTGCGCGACTCTAATATATACTTAATTAAGTTCATTAATATCCCGTCATTAACTAAATCCGAGAACTGTTACATAGCAGCTGCAAAACAGGTAGCAGGAAAATTTCTCAATTTTCTAATTATTTCTGGAAGAAACAATAAATTGAGGTCGTTTTCAAGGAGAAAAACGAATTAATGAGGGCACAGGAAGGAGCAGTTTGGAAATTCACGTGGGGAGCATAAAATCCAAAACAAAATCTTATTAAGATCACAGAAACGGACAACAAAGACTACAAGAGTCAACAGAGAAAAATGGGACAAAAAAAAGCATGTAATGTAATGGATAGCAACCAATCGGCGAGCGACTAGAGACAGAGTGTGTATGCATGGGGCTAAAAGGCCAGTGGCCTCTTTTCCTTTTCGAGAGTGTCTATAACCCCCAATAAAGTTTGCTGCTTCCAGTTTCACTGCAAACTCCTACCAACCTCATTAATCTCCTTTAACTTTCTTTACCTTCTCTCTTCTTTGTCGTGTCATGGTCTAGGAAGGCTCAATTGGTTATGTCACATTCAAACATTTGAATTCTCTTGCAATCCTTTTAGTTTTTTGATTTGTGGGTTTTGTTTAAATGTTGCTGTTTTTCCTTCTTGATGAATAGCTTTGTTGTTGTTTCTGTTTCCTACAGTCATGAGGTGTGAAGGGAGTTTGGGAATAGTAGTCTAAAACTCTAGGAGACCCTACTAGAAAGATTTTTGTATCACAAACAGAGAAAACCCTCTAGATATACAAGGAAAGCAAGGAGTGTGGGGAGCTCCCATTAAAGCCACAAAGCATCCATCACCAATATACCCACATTTCTAGGACACCTATGGTGTCTGAAAGGGAGTGCAAACAGAGAAAGATTATGGGGAAGAATTGAAAAGATGGATACATAAGCTAATATGGTTGTTGGTGGGGTTTCCTTTTGAAGAAGAATCCAAACCCTTAACTCTCCTTGGTTACAAGAGGTGCTTTCATGTCTGCAACAAGAAAACCCAGGAAATATGGGATAAATTTGGATGCCACTTTTGCTTTGTCTCCACAACAGCACAAGGAATTGTAGATGAAAGGGGGTGAGACCCATTGACTTTGGAATTAGAATGTATTGACAAGGACAAGCAACCATCTGATTTAACTCCATTACATATGGTAGACAGCTTAGACACTTTGTACAGTTTCGATCACCTAAAGTATATCCACAGGACATTTATTATTTTACACAACTATCAAAAGAAGCATACAGAGCAGGCACAAAAAAAAAAGCAATTATGGATATAGAATGTTTAGAAACATTTTAACAAATGAACAACAGAAAAATAAACAAACTACAACGGTTGAAACTTAAAATTGTCCCATAATTCAATTTATTTTGCCCTCCCCTACAATGAAACTAATATCAAAGTGCAATTACGTTCACTCTTCATTTGATTTGGCCTTCCTCTCCTTCATGCTCATGATCTTCATCTACTGCACCTTATGAGAAGCCATGTAGGATCATTAGATACCCCATCATGTACAGCATATTATAAGCAACATGGGATTCTATGAACAAGTAAAGGGTTTTACACGTCTTTCTCTTAATTTTTTTTTAAATGATATGTTTAAAAGCTTGTATTTTAATTCATATTTTCAAAAATCAATTATTGAATTAAATAATGAAAGTTCTATTCATATAAATTATGTATATAAATTTTTATGTTAATTTAATAAGCCTAACTACTTTGTTAACTATAACATATTTAATACTGTTAAATATATAAAGTTGTTTTAATTAAAGAGTTATAAATACTAGATTAATATAAAAATTGATATACATGATTTATATAAATAGAATTTTTAATTTAATAATCAATTTTTAAAAATATTAATTCAAAGTTAAAATTTTAAATCGGTGCCCAAAGAAAATTATAAGAGTACAACATATCAAAAGAAAAAGAAAAAAAAAACTATGTACAGGCTATCTCGGATCAAATGAATCGAAAGCCCAAATAGGGGTTTCCTGTTGATCTGTGAATAGGCCGAACAGTGTTCAAAACGCAAAGGCTTTTTATATATATCCAGAACTAACTCAAGCCTAGTCCATAATAAAAGCCCGAACAAGTTATAACCCAAAGACCAAAAGAGTGTGTGCTTATTGTTCAATATCATCTCTACACTCAAAAGAGTTGTTAGACAGGTTAGGGATTTTCACCTTTCAATGGCTTATGGCCCATCAAAGTAATCAAGGTTTCCAAGGACCGCTTTCTGAGAGACATTTTTCATATGGAATCTCATTTTAAAATATAAATTTTTAATTTTTAATTAATTTTTTAATATATTTTTGAGATAATAAAAGATAAAACAAAAAAACCTATCACTATACCACAGCACACCATAAACAAAGTAGCCTAAGCATCTAAATAAAAATACCAAAAGTGAGTACAACAAATACTAAAATGAGATGTAGTTTTGAATGGAGTTATAATTCACTAACCTGAATTATTTCATTTACGAGGTGCACCTATCATTATCCATCTATGGAACCAGCATCTCAATGATCCAAGCCTCCATGACCCGTTCCAATACTAGAATCATCATACATCAATGGAGTATTGCAGCCATTGACAGTGGCATAACCATAATATATAGGAGATCCATAAGGATAATACCAATAGGGATAATAGAAAGCTACAGCACAAGGACTCCAACAAAATGGGAGATCATAAGCATTGCAAACTTTGTAAAACTTGTTATCATAGCCATAAGAACTCGCTGAAGGTTCCATGGTATTCTGAGGAGGAACCCTAGGCTCAGCCCTCTTTAGTTCCACCTGATTTCCTTTCAATACATGGGACTTCACCTTCAACACAGTCTCAAAAGTCTCCTCTGACTCAAAAGTGACAAACCCGAAACACCTCGACCTGCCATTAGTTTTGTTGACTACCACAAATGCATCTTCGACTGTACCATAACTCTCAAAGTATGCCTTCAAATCTGCATTTGTCAAGTGGGGGTGCAATCCTCCCACAAAAATCTTGTTTTTGTTGACATCGTTCCTATTACAATTGTTTCTATTCCCATCTATTAATCCATTCCACTTTTCTTGGTTTCTGTCAACCTTTTGTATTGCATAGCTCACATCAACCTGTAAACAATTCAAAAAATGTATTAACATCAATCAACCAAGATTTAGTTAAGGGAAAACATAATGTTATAAGCTCGGAAAGTTACCTTTCTGCCTAAGATGAGATGCTCATCTTCAAGGGCCTTTGCAGCCATCGCTGGGTTGGTGAAGGTAATAAACCCAAACCCCTTCGAAAGACCAGTAACCTTGTCAATGATGATTCTGGATTCCTCAATTTCACCGTAGCTGCTAAAGTGATCTCTCAACGTATCTTTAGTTATGTCCATAGAGAAGCCTCCAACAAACAACTTGTTAGGTATTCTAAACTCCATCAAGGAAACCATCTTTCAAAATCTCAACTAACTGTTCCTAAAGATCCTCCACAACTAGAGATTGAAGCAGAGGACAAAGAACAATTAAAATTAAAGTATAAATGAAAATTTAGGTTAATTATTCAAATAAATAAGAGGAGTTTATATATAAAAGAAAAAAGTAATAGAGTTTGGAACGAAGTAGACTTCTTTTTTATTCACAAAAGATGACTACTTATTTGAAGGGTTAATGAGATAATCTCAATTTAATTACTTATTTTGTTTTTTAAAAAATATTTTTTAATTTAATATTTGCCTTAAAATAATAATCTTTTTTCTTATTTTAAAGAAAACAAGTATTTTCTTTCTTATTTTAATTTTATAATTATCTCTTAACTTTAATTAATTATTATTTGATTAAAATAATTATTTTTTTATTTTTTTTTAAGATAAAATAAATAAGGAGAAAAAATATCTTTAAATTCTTAATCTGGAGGTAAAATAAAATAAAATCTATTATTTTAAAACAAAGAGCGGTAGCATACAGTTTTCGGCCGAATAAAACAAAGGTTTTGTTAAGGCAGCAAGAAACGGAGAGACCTTTGAAACTGGTTCAGTTTCATTGGAAATGCATCTTCCCGATTATTACACTTTAGAAGCTGTAGATAAACAAATAATAACAATAATGATTTCCCAGAGAAAAGTTGAGGTTATGAAAAAAGAGAGTGGAAGTTTTATTGAAAGAATTGGGAGAATATTGCAAAAGAGTATACACAATAAACATGCATACAAGCTACTCCTCTGTTTCTAGTTTACAATCAAAAGTGCTTACATTTTATAGGAAAGTGTGGATATCAATTTAAAACTACACTATGCAGTTGAGGCTGGTGTTCTGCAGCAGGTATCTACAATATCATCTAAAGGAGCATGATCACCTGTTCCTTCATCTTTGCGTGCGTATAACAACTGTTTCCCTTTAAACACAAACATGCCACCCTAGTAAAGGACGAAACAGAAAACCAGTTAGTATTGAGAATTTAAAAGCGCTCAGAAATTTGGGTAGGTTAAAGCAAACCTGTTGAAGAACACTACTTCTATCATCAGGGGTGGCCTCAATGGTATAGTTCTTCACAGCATTTCGTAGAGATTCAAACCTTGAAAACACCTTGGCCTGTTAAAAAAAAAAAAAATCTACTCATGTTATAGAAGAACAGATGGAGTTCCACAGGAAAAGAAATTCTTGGCAGAAAAAAGGGAGAAGGGGTTTACACTTGCTGGATTGAAAAATGTACGACCAATACCATAGTATAACCCCAAAACATCATATGCCTGAAATAAGAGTTCAAAGTTTAGAGTAATTACCAGAAGAAATTAACAATTTTTGCTGAATGAATGGATAAATTACCTTGCGTTCAGGATCAGCATACAGGCATTCCATTGGGAATGGTAACTGCAGAAGTGATATCATTAGAACAACATAACCAAATCACATTCTAAAAAAATGATAATCACATTATCATCTTTCTGTTTCTGGTTATATGATCAATTTAGCCAAAATACATAATAATGAAGAAATCCATGATGCAAAAAGAGTACCCTGTCAGCCAAGATGCGAGCTTTATTAGGAGTACCAACACCAACCGCAATTAGCTTGACACCAGCAGAGTCAAATTTTGCTTTTGATTCCTTTAATGTTGCAGCAAGTTCCCAACTTTAAAGGAAAAATAAATAAGAACTCATAAGTAACAATATTACTATCCTAATTCTCTGTTCCAAAATGGTTTCAAAAAACACCATTTACCAGCAAGGGCATCCAAAATGTCTCAAAAGTGCAACAACAGCCATCCCCTGCAGAAAAAAGTGAATATGGGTGGTTCGAAAACAAGGAAGGATTGAAGAAAGTGAGGCCAATTCGGGCGGGTGGGTAGATGAGTACCTCTTTTTGGTCCCAGAGATCTTTGAAGAACACGGGTTGGCCATCAGCCTTGAAAATACTAACATCACCGAGGATATCGCCGATGTTTGCGGTGGAATCAGAGGCGGAAGCTCTGGCAACCAGGGGAGACCAGCGAGTGATGCCATGGTTACTATGGCTGAGCTTTGTTGGTTTAATTGGAGAGGAAATGGGAGAATTGATTGAAGGGATGAACTGGGATGGGTATTTGGGAGGTTTAGGAGAGGAGGAGCAGAGAGGTCGCAGAGATTGCAATTGTAATGTTTGCGTAAAAACCATAGCCATACCTTGAATTTTCCTGAAACCCCTAAAGCATGAACAACTATGCTGATTATTGGAGACAACTCAGAAATCAAAATTGGCTGAGGAAAAGAGAAATGGAAGCCAATAGTTCGCTTGTGGTGTGGCGGGTCGGATTTCTGGCTGGCTGGTGACGGGCGTCACGACAGCCTTTGATTGGTGGGCTTTCAAATTCCAAACCAAACCTAGTCCATTTAATGGACCTTGATTCTGGAATGCCCAGCTTTCATTTTAGGCTAAAATTAAGCTTATTAGCCCAACTTGGGTTTTAGATGTAGTTACAACTTTTCAAACAGAAGCAGAAAATCTTACTGTATACCAGGTATCTAAAATCTCACAACAGACCCAAATAATTGCAGCCCCACAGGGAAGCTGATAAATGGTAAAGAGTGCTAATATGAAGTATGTTCCAGATTCTCTATAAAAACCGACACTTCCCCTTACACAGACAGGTACAATCCTATTATCCAAAAGCTTATTAGATCGTCAATATTTGTCAGGGTCATGCTCCCACAAGTAGTTATTATTGCATCTACGCCGTTTTGTAAAAGAGGGGCACCCTCAGTCTACTTGTTAAAAAAATGAGATAGCTGTTCTAGACGGGGATGGAGCTTCATTGAGCTGGGGCCATGGGCACCCTTAAGATTTTGGAAAAAAATTAATATGTTTAATATGTATATTTTTTAATTTTTGGTAGTTTTATGTTTATTTTATTGTAAAAAAAAACATTTATATTTTTTTTATACTATTAGAATTTATTTGTATTTAGATAATAATTTTGTACTTAATAATGGCATAATTGAGAAAAAATTGAGAAATTTGGAATATTTTGAGTTTTAGGGAAGTGATTTATTATAGAGTAGAATTTCTTTTTATTATATATACCAATTGTTTGATTAGTTATTTCTGTTGGATGTACTTTTTCTACTAAACTTCATTTTATGTACTATGTTTTGAGTTCTTTATCATAGGCATTTAATTAGTTTGATCTCTTTTATTATTAGTTAATTTTACATATAATTGATTTAAGCTTTAACAAACTCATATTTATCATCATTAATTTTTCGGGTTTAATATATAGAATGTCTTTAGATTAGTTTAGACACACTTTAAGACTAATCATTTCCTAATTTAAGAGAAGGTAGTCTTATAATTTATACTATAGGATATACTTAAAAATATGACGGAGAATTAAACTTAAAAATAAAAATAAGGTTAAAGAAAAAAAATATTTGTATATCTTGAATTAAAAAAGCTTTATGACAAACTTTTAGCAAAAAGAATAAATTTATATTTGTTAGAAAAAAAAAATTTTGTTGGACCCCCAAAGACTTTTGTCAAGCTCCGTTGTTGGTTCTAAATATCCTATACATTTTATAATTACTATTAAAATGAGGAACACCTTAATATTATGAGACCCGCTCCTTTTAGTTGTTATAAATACATAGTTTGGACAAGTAGAATGCACATCACTTTCTCTCTTTTTTATTTTGGATTTAAAAAAAAAAAAAAAAAAACGCAGTTGTTGGGCTCCTCATCCCTCTTCAGTTCATCTGTCTGACCAAACCAAAAAATTTGCTAATATAAGATCCAAGACAAATCCATCACAACTATTTGGACTCCCAATATGATAACATCCAAAAATAAGCAGCTGTTTTTGGTTTTTGTATTTGTATATATAGAATTTTTTTCTGGCGCTGCTGTCACGTGACCAGGAAATGGACAGGCCCACAAGGGCAGGCCAACGTTTTCTGTTACTCAAAATGACGCCAATACCTATGCACTCCTTCACCATTTGCATGGAGTCATGGACACATTTTTGCCTTTGCTGAAAGGATAAAATAGATTTGTAAAAATAAATTTATTAATAAATTGGTGTTCGTTTTATATATTTACTTTAAAATTTAAATTTTAATATTAACATTAAAAAATTATTCTTTTAATGAACCAAATAAATGTGTGAACATGCTTTTAAGATTTCTTAAAAGGAGAACTAGCTCTCGGGCAAATTGACACAAAAAACATCTTTAGTATCCAAACCAAAAAAAATAAAAAATAAAATTACAATTAACTGTACTTTGGACCATATGACCTCTTTGGCCACAGTTGGGATGCAGTAGATATTAGAAACAAAGTTTCCTAATTACTTTAGATACTCGTTTTCTTTAAAGACTGATATAGAATTGGCTATCAAACTTAGGATGTGAGGATACGTATATCCAAGTGGGCAGCTCCTTTGTACATTTCACAATAGGGTAGCGCTTGCCCTAAACATACACATATACCCAGCTTGAATATATACAGATATATGTTTCTCGATCCTTAACTCCATCTATATTAAAAGTCTAGCCATTGGTTTTCAACGCCTCTGTGCACACCATATTTATTACCACCTGAGGGTTGGGGACCTTAATTTAATCCCCATGATTGACATCTCCATTGGTTTGTGAGCTATAGATAGAAAACCAACTCAATGGAGAATTGAGGACCCTTCAATGAGGATAGTCACAAAAAGGACAAAATTTAACAATTCAAACACCTAGGGTCCTCAAGAAACTACTACTCAGGTTATATCTTAACCAATTCATTTATTTTGGAATCAAAGGAATTGTTGGGGAGGTAGTGTCATTAAAACGTCTACCAAATCAAGTAGAGTTAGTAGGTATTCCTGGTACACAAATATTAACGAGACCCATTTTAATTCACTTCATTCAAGGGAAATTAATTCTTTTTATCTAAGGTAATTTTTAGATGATAAAATGTAAATAATATATGATTGTAATGCCATTTTAAATTTAAAAAATTAATCTATTATAAGTTTATTAATTGGTCCAAACTCGACCTAAAATTTTTTAAAAATAAAATTTATTATACATTACTCATTAAGTCATTAAATGGAGGGCGAGGGTTGGCATATGGACGAGTCATTATAAAAATTTTGTTTTATGTGCACGGCTATTACATGTTGGTTCATGCAATCCCACGCAGTCTCTCCTGTAGTGATTGATCGTAGATGAGTTGAGACCCAAAATGGGAAAGGCCTTGTCCCCCCAAAAGCCCAGATTAGCCAAGGGACGTCCTTGACGCTAGAAGACAAATTCACCATGGAAAGTCCAGCGGGAAAATTCTGAAACGAGGAAATACATGTTTTCAGGATTAAATATAGGGTATGATATATAAATTATGAAATTAGTATGTATCAATTTTAATTTTAAAAAATAAAATTTATATTTATATTTAAAAATTAAAATTTTAATTAATTTTTAAA